TCCCACCTTTATGGAAGGAGAAACTCCTGCTAAATTCCTCTTATTGAGGGTGTTCTGGGGTCTTCCCTTTTCCCATGAGACATTCATAAAAATCTCAAATTCACCTAGTTAGGCAAGCACCTTCAGAACAAAAGCCTGCTTCAGTGTTCCACTTACATCTCTCTGTGTCCCCTGCCTTCACTTACTGTGTTTTGCCCTGAAAATTCCTTACTTTCCTAAGCAGTGCATCAAAGCATTTGAGATTTTTATTTATTTATTTTTGGTGGTATTATGTACCAGGGATTGAAATCAGGGACAGTTGAGCACTGAGCCACATCCCTAGCCCTATTTTGTATTTTGTTAGAGACAGGGTCTCAGGGTCTCATTAAGTTGCTTAGCACCTGGCTAAATTGCTGAGGCTGGCTTTGAATTTGTAATCCTCCTGCCTCCGCCTCCCCAGCTGCTGGGACTGCAGGTGTGCACCACCACGCCTGGCTCAGCATTTGAGATATATATTTTTAAATATGTATTTTTTAGGTATAGATGGACACAACACAATGCCTTTATTTTTATGTGGTGCTGAGGATGGAACCCGGGTCCCGCCCGTGCTAGGCGAGCGCTCCACTGCTGAGCCACAATCCCAGCCCAGCATTTGAGATACTTAAAAAATATTTTTTAGGGGCTGAGGCTGTAGCTCAGTGGTAAAGTGCTTGCCTCACATGTGTGAGGCACTGGGTTCAATCCTCAGCACCACATAAAAATAAATAAAGATACTGTGTGTTCATCTACAACTAAATAAATATTAAAAAATGTTTTTGGTTACAGATGGACAAATATCTTTATTTTGTTTTATTTTATTTATTTTTTAATGTGGCACTGAAAATCAAACCCAATGTCTCACACATGCTAGGCAAGCGCTCTGCCACTGAGCCACAACCCCAGCCTGAGATTTTTTTTTTTTAAAGAGAGAGAGAGAGAGAGAGAGAGAGAATTTTAATATCTGTTTTCCAGCTATTGGCAGACACAACATCTTTGTTGGTATGTGGTGCTGAGGATCGAACCAGGGCCACACGAATGCCAGGCGAGCGCGCCACCGCTTGAGCCACATCCCCAGCCCCGAGAGATTTTTTTTTTTTTTTTTTATCATTTTTTTAGTTGTTGATAGATCTTTATTTTATTTATTTATAGTGATGCTGAGAATCAAACTCAGTGCCTCACACATGACAGCCAAGTGCCCTACCCCTGAGCCATAGCCCCAGCCCTCTGAGATTTTTTTAAAAATATATTTTAGTTGTCCATGGACCTTTAATTAATTAATTAATTAATATGTAGTGCTGAAAATCAAACCCACGGCCTCTCCCACATGCCAGGCAAGCATTTTACACTGAGCCACAACCCGAGCCTATAGTCCCAGCATTTAAGATTTTTTTGGTACTGTGGATTGAATTCCGAGGCGCTTAATCACTGAGCCACATCCCCAGCCCTTTTTTGTATCTTATTTAGAGACAGGGTCTCACTGAGTTGTTTAGGGCCTTGCTAAGTTGCTAAGGCTGGCTTTGAACTTGTGATCCTCTTGCCTCAGCCTCCCAAACCACTGGGATTACAGGCATGCACCACTAGTAGCGTTTAAGTTTTTTAAAAAAGTTTGATCCAGGATTTTAGTTGTTTTTAGGTCTTCTAGGTTCTTAGCCTGAAAAGGAAAGCACAAGTATGCAATATTTTTGCACATATTTAATATGACCTGTCTTTTCCAGTAATGCAACCACTATGTAAATTGTTTTGTATTGTTCTGAACTTTACCAAGAGTTGTTCACCATTTTGGAAAGTCAGACCAATGGCAATTCTGCCTAATTCAACTCTCCTCGGTCAGTCTATATTTGTCCCTATCACATTCTTAGTGATTCTAGGGCTGGGGGTAGAGTTTCCTATTTTCCTCTAACTTCCAGTGTAGAATAGTGCCCAAGTATTTGCATATTGAAATGCCTTCTTCTTGTCCTTATTTTTCTTTAATAGCCAGAAAATTATATTGATCCGCTTTTTAAATTGTGTATCCAGGTAATTTATATTGCTTGTTAATTTCACTTCAGGGTAGTAGAGTTAAATATTTGTTTTTAAAAAGATGCATTGAAGCCAGGTGTAGCAGTGTACCTATAGTCCCAGCTACTTCCATGAGTTTGAGACCAGCCTGAACAACATAGTGAGACTCTGTCAAAAAAAAAAAAATTGATAAAAAGGGGACACTAGGAGGGGACAGATTTACTGATGTGATCATTAGAGTTCAAAATCTGGAGAATTTTTGCTATTTTGAAGGCATGTGACTTGGAGCATGATGGTTAACTTTTTGGCATTGAGGTGTACGTCAGTGGTAATGCTTGTGCTCAGCATGTATAAGACCCTGGGTTCAATCCCCTCCCCATGCCCCTTCATCCCTAACCTCCACACACCTCAGAAAAGATGGTTAACATCCTCAGTTGTGCACACCTGTAATCCCAGAGGCTCAGGAGGCTGAAGCAGGAGGATTGTGAGTCAAAGCCAGCCTCAGCAACTTAGCAAGGCACTAAGCAACTCAGTGAGACCCTGTCTCTAAATAAAATACAAAATAAGGCTGGGAGGGGTCAGTGGCTGAGTGCATCTGAGTTTAATCCCCTGCACCAAAAAAATAAAAAAGAAAAAAAAATAAAGAAGAAAAGGTGGTTAACATTGTTGAGTCTTGGTTTCCTTGGTTTCTTCATCTGTAAAATGGGGGTGGTATTATGTACCTCAGAAAGTTATTGTGAGGATTAAGTGAGATATGATATGTGAAGTTATAATAGTACCTGGCACATGGTGCTAATGTCAGACCTTGCCAGGCATTGGGGACATGCCTGTAATCCTAGCAATTTAGGAGGCTGAGGCAGGAAGATCACAACTTCAATATCAGCCTTAGCAACTTAAGTGTGGCCCTAAGCAACTGAGTGAGACCTTGTCTTAAAACAAAACAAAAAACAAAAAAAGAAAAGAAAAAGAAAAAGGGCTGGGGATGTAGCATGGTGGTAGAGTACTCCTACTTTCAATTCCTACTACCACACAAACACACACTCATCACCCTCCCCCCCTCACACATACACACCCACAAAGTCACAGGCCCCATGATTATGTCTTTGACCCAATTTCTTGTCTCTTCCTTAAGTTCTAGCTCTCATCACATCAAAATACTTTTCTTGGAAAATGCCATGATTCTTCCTGTTTTGCATATACTCTCCCTGGAATCCTCCCTTCTTTGAAACCCTATCTAATTCCTATCCATCCATCAGATCTCACTCAGAAAATGGGTAACAGCCTTACTTAGCTTTTTCTTCATGAAGTCTATTGCTATCTCCACAAGTGATGTGTCCCTGTTTTCACCACAGTGGCTGCCCTTAACACAGAGTGATGTTACAGAGCACAGGGGCTTACATTGGCTACAGTGGGCAGGGAATGCCTTCTGTAGAGGGGCATTTGAGCTAAGGCCTGAAAAATTAAAGAGGATAGATAGTACAAAGACTCTGAGGTCAGGGCTGCCTGCAGGACCACACAACATAAAAGTGACTGAGGAGGGTACAGGTAGGACATGAAGATGAAGATCTGGGAGGCTCTAGCAAGAGTTAGGATCCACTTCCACATTAACTTACCTTCAAGCATGCAGAAGTACATACCTGGACATCTTTACTTTTGCATCCATTGATCTCTATGTCTGGAATGTGTTCCTTGCTTCTCTGATTATTAATAAAATCCTACTCATCCTTCAAGGCCAGTGAAAAACCATTTATGAAATCTTCTCTCATTCTTTATCAGGAATTAATCACTCCCTTGTCTCATGTCCCCATGGCACTAATCACATGCTGACTTGTACCTCAGCTAGCTGTTTACATGCCAGTCTGCCCACCAACACGGTGAGTTCCTGAGGACAGAGGCTCTTAGTCATCTCTGTATCAATCTCCTGGTGCCTGGCCCACATCTGATACATAATGAGACACTGACTTGACTAGTGGGTGGGGTCCAGCACTACTCATGGTGGAACAGAGAAGGAAAACAAAAATAACAACAATTATGGCTTATCACGTGTTGTCCCATTCATTACCTGATTTGTGCCTTCCAACAACCCTAAGAGACAGAAGAGACAGGCATATGCATCAATTTTACAGACAGGGTTGCCGAAGCCTTTTAAGTTGTGGGGACTAAGTCCCAATCCTGTCTCTTACTTCAGATTCAGCGCTGGGAATGGAACTGACCCAAAGAGCAGTTTGAGGATATAAATCAGTGGGATGGGCTGCAGTGACAAAGTGCTTTTGTGGGTGGACTTGGGAGAAATCCTCAATCAGTTGCCAAGGAGTTAGCAATTGCACCAGGAAGGACAAAGTATTTCTGTCTCTGAGCCAAGCAGCTGAAGGATTTCGCAGCACCATCTCTCATCACTGAAAATGGGAAACCCTTGGCCCACGAAAGATACCGTTTGGGTCTGGTGGCTCAGTTGATGTAAAGGATGACTTGTTAGCAGGGGCCTGCTTCTCTGTTGCCATGACAACCAGAGCTTGCCTATTGGTCCCTTGCAAGGTTAGCTGAGGCGTTCTCTTCGTTAACTCGAGATTAGGGAAGGACACTTAGGGGGAGGCTGTGTGCGCGAGCGCGCCTAGTGGACTAAAGATGAAAAAGAAGTATATTCAAGAAACACGATAGCTGAGTGGTTCTCCACCTCGGTGACATGTTAGAATCACGCGCATTAAAAGTCCCGATACTAGGCTGCACTCGATCAATTAAATCAGAATCTCTGGGACTACAACCCTGACATCAGTAGCTAGTTGAAGCTCTCCAGGTAGTTTCAATTGTAGTCAAAGATGCAAATCCCGGTTTTAGCTGCTAAGCGGAGTTCTTGCGACCTTCTCAAGATGGCGACCGATCCAGCCACTTCCGTCTTTACGTGCGCCGGCAGGGGGCAGGTTTTCCAGAGGCGCATGCGTTTAGCGTGTCTTTGCTCCCCGCTCCCTCCTCCTTTTTCCCCCGCCTCCATTTTGTTCGCGGACGCTGGGGACGGTGGGAGCACATCCATTTCCGGGTTGGCAAAAGGGGCGGCGGCGGCGAGAAAGAGAGCTTGCTGGGGGGGCGAGTGAGACAAGACGAAACCAGAGCAGAGGTGGCGGAGGATTCGCTCCCGGAGCAGCTGCAACCAGGTCGGAAAGAGGCTGAGAGGGCTGGGTCCGTCGCTGAGGTGACCTGCGGACCTGAGATGGGAGGGAGGATCGGGAGAGGGGGGCTTTGGGCGGGGCTTGAGGAGAGTGGGGGCACCGGAGGAGGGGCCTGAGGGGGAGAGAGGGGCTCTGGGGGCGGGATTTGGGGAAATGGGGGTTGGGTCTGGAGAAGCTAGAGTGGGGGCGTGGGTCATCTAAGGAGGAGTGGTCAGGAATTGGTACTGGGCGGGCGCGGACTGTGAAGATGGGCGAAGTGCTTTTTGAGAGACAGGAAATAAAGCATCTTGAAGGGTTGGTTGAGGTAAGACGGAAAGTCGCGGTGAAGAACGAGGTAACCGTGCGCAAAAGGGGAGATGGGAAGGGAGTACCTGTTGGGAACAGGTAATTAGTAGGATGCTCTGGGTGAGGAGGCCCGTGTGACATTTTGAGAATTGATTTAGATAAAAAGTCATGGTTGGGAGGATGGCTCAGGAAACTGCTTATATTAGATAGAATCTTACAAGCGTTAGTTGAGAGGCAGTCAGAATGCAGTTAAAGGTTGGACTGAGAAATGTTGAGATACGCTTTGGTGCACCTGGAGTTGAGGGGTTCGTGTTTGAGTGCTAGATGTGGGCGTTGTGTGTGATGGAGTTGCTGATCAGGAAGGAAAATTCTGAAAAGATGACATTGTAGTGAAAAGTTGGAAGAAGCTGGGAATTCATATTTTTAAAGAGACTTGAAAAATACTGTTTGGGGCTCTTCCAGGGCCCATCTCCTCTCCTCTCCTCTCCTCTCCTCTCCTCTCCTTTCCTTCTTTCCTTCCTTCCTTCCTTTCTTTCTTTCCTTTTTTTTTTCATTCTGTTATTTTTGACTTAAGTTTTGGTTTCTGAATGACTTATTGAATGTTTCCGGCTACTCTTCTCCTTTTATTGAACCAGAAAAGAGCTTAGAGAGTAAAAACTATTCTAGCACAACTCTGGCTTTACTCATTAACTTTGAGGCAAATCATTAAACTCTTCATTCCCCCCCCCCCTTTGTAATATAGGAGGAATTTACTTTTGCATCCACTGATAAAATTCTACTCATCCTTCAAGGCCAGTTAGAAACCATTTATGAAATCTTCTCTCATTCTTTATTAGGAATTAAAATCCTCATCCTGTTCTCTAAAAGACTGTGTTAAACAAGTGAGATGTTGAAGTGGTTGCAAACAAGTGCTCTGGAAACAAGATTGAGATATTGCTATTTGAAAGACATTTTTCTCAGTCTCTTCCTCTTGGTCTTGTGTGTGTATAATAATGTGTATATATGTGCGCGCGCACACACACACACACACATATATATATTTATATATACACACACATTATTATATAAAATGTATATCTGTGTGTAAATATGTATGTTTTTGTGTGTTTGTGTGTGTGTATTGCCAAGAAAGAGTTGGTTTAGATTTGATGCATGTTTAGTTTTTAAATTATATTCTCCCCCCAGTAGTAGTGGGGATTGATTTCAGGGCCTTGGGTGTATAAGATGAGCTACATCCCCAGTCCTTTTGTGTGTATAGTACTGGAGATTTTTTTTAAAATATTTTTTTAGTCTTAGTTGGATGCAATACCTTTTTTTTTTTTTTTAAGAGAATTTTTAAATATTTATTTATTTAGTTTTCGGCGGACACAAATCTTTGTTTATATGTGGTGCTGAGGATCGAACCCGGGCCGCACGCATTCCAGGCAAGCGTGCTACCGCTTGAGCCACATCCCCAGCCCCAGCAATACCTTGATTATTTATTTATTTACTTATTTGTTTTATGTGGTGCTGAGGATCCAACGGCCTTGCACATGCTAGGCGAGCGCTGTACCGCTGGGCCACAACCCCAGCCCTGTACTGGAGATTTGAACCCAGGAGTACCCTACTAGTGAGCTACATCTCAGCCCTTTTTATTTATTTATTTAAAAAAAATTTTTTTTGTCGTTGTAGATGGATGGAATACCTTTATTTGTTTATTTTTATGTGGTGCTGAGGATCGAACCCAATGCGTCACAGATGCTAGGCAAGTGCTCTGCCACTGAGCTATAGTCCCAGCCCTCAGCCCTTTTTATTTTTACTTTTTATTTTGAGACAGGGTTTTGCTAATATGCCCAGGCTGGCCTTGTACTTGCCATTCTCCTGCCTCAGCCTCCTGTGTTGCTAGGATTACAGGTGTGCACTACTGCATCTTGCTTTTAACTATTCTTTTAAACTATTTAAATATATGTATGTTTTTTAGTTGTAGATAGACATAATACCTTTCTTTTTATTTATTTATTTTTATGTGGCACTGAGGATTGAACCCAGGGCTTCATACATGCTAGGCAAATGCTGTGCCACAATCGCAGCCCCAGTGTGAAACTTTTATATAGTTGAAAATTTCTTACTATTGTGTTTCATTTTATTGGCTACCATCAAAATGAAGATAAGGAAATTAGAGTTGGGAATGAATGAGGTCAGTTGATGGAGACTAGGAGAATATAGTATTTTATTCTTGACAGAAACTGGGTTTTTCCATGAGCTCTTTTTTTCTTTAATTTTTTTTAGTAGTAGATGAACATAATACGTTTATTCATTTATTTTATATGGTGCTGAGGATCGACCCCAGTGCCTCACACGTGTGAGTCAAGCACTCTGCCACTGAGCCACAACCTTAGACCCTCCATGAGCTCTTTGAGAATTCCCTGAAAAATAATATTTTGGACAATTGAGCCTTATCTTTAATCCAGTCGCTATCTATGGCCTTGTTGTCAGTTGGTAGGGATGAGTGTGCTGTGGACAGTTTTAGCTGCTTTACTGTTTTTTTTTTGCTAATTTTTTTTTTTTTTTTTTTTT